CGCGCCGGCACCGAGCATGGTTCGCTGCCGCCACAGGGGGTCTTCCAGGCCTTCTGCCGAGGCCGCCGGCGCGCCTCCGCAAGGAAATAGTCGGCCCGATCTCGGCGCGGCTGCATCCACTGCAAGGTGCTCTGCTTCTACTGCGGGGTGCACCTACGGTTGGGAAGCCGGAGGCATAGCAGAGACGGCCGCGGAGGGACCTCGTCACTGGCGAGGAAGACCTCTCACCATCGCTCGTTGCCTCACGCACGACCGAAAAGAAATACCAGATGGGAGGAGCAATTGAATCGCCAGAGTAGTGGGATTTAATGGAGGGAGAAGGAACCGTTTCAATTGGAAAATAATAGTGGGATTTGATGGAGATTGAAGAAGATAGAGAGGAAGTGGAATCCGCTTCGTGTGGAAGACAGAAGGCGCGGATCGCGGCGGCTGGCGGCGGCGCGGTCACGCAAGGTTTTTTTAGGCAAGGCTTCTTCACAGAAGGCGGAAGGGTGGGTCATGGTAGTCTCCAACGATGGAGACCCATGGGCTTCCAATGGGCTTTCTAGTCTCCAAAAATTGTTGAACTGTACGCACAGCCCAAAACATTGAGTCGAAGGCCAGCAGCGAGAGGTATGGCCGGGGAAAGAACGAATCGATATACTTAGCGGTGGCAGTGCCTATTAATTCCCTAAATCTTTGATCAAACGGCTGCGGCTTCTCAACTTTACTGAATCAATGGCTGTAACAATTGGGGTGACGTGGCTTCATGAGAAGGCAGAAAAATCACCTAGTGGGGTGCCCCTATTTAGATATAGAAGATTGGTGGCTTCGGCCACGTGGGTCGCCGATCCCAGCTGAAGGAATATATGCGGAAGGAGGGAATAGACATCGTTGGCTTGCAGGAGACGATTAAATTACATTTCGGCATCATGAGCTGCTCGCCATCGACCCCCTGGAGAGGTTCACTTGGAACCACCTAGCAATGATTGGGCACTTGGGGGGCATGTTGTTAGGTTTTGACCAAGCCGTTTACGAGGTGCTAGCCTTGGATGCGGGCACCTTTTTCTGGCTGGGCACATTCACCACTGTCAGTCTCAGAGGGAGCTGGTGGTGATCCAGGTCTACGGACTGGAAGATCACTCGAGATCGGTCGATTTCTTGGGCGAATTGCAAACCAAGGTGCTCTCGGTTGGCGCATCGCTAATCCCGCTATTAGTTGGGGGATTTTAATCTGATCCGCTCGGGAGCGGACAAAAACAACAGCAATGTTAACTGTCCAACGGTGGCCATGTTTAACAACGCCATTGCCACTATGTCTCTTCGGGAGGTGGCTAGGTCTGGGGCACGCTACACTTGGACCAACAAGCAGTTGGCCCCGGTGAGCTCCATCTTGGACAGGGTGTTTATCTCGCCCGACTGGGAAATTTTGTATCCATTGTGCTTGCTCGTGGCAGAGACCAAGATCGGTCCAACCACATCCCGCTTATCCTCATCTCAGGGGAGGACATGATTGGTCGAAGCCCACGGTTCTTCCTCGAGACGGCTTGGTTCGAAAATCCAGAGTTTGACTCCATCTTCGGGGCGAAGTGGATCCATTGCGTTAGCCAGGTGGGTACCCAACGGGGACCCATGGAATTCTGGAACGCGGTTGGGGGCCGCCTGCGGGCTTGCCTCAAGGGTTGGGGGGCCAATTTGGGTCGTTAAGAAAAGGTGCTCAGGGAGAGTATCCTCGCAGAGATTGCGAATCTCTATGAACAAGCTAACGAGCGGCCTTTTTCTGAACAAGAATGGGCCGAACATTACACGCTGGAGGATCAGGTTCAGTCCTTGTTCCGCGCGGAAGAGGAGTATTGGCGGCGGCGTGGTGGTCTTAAGTGGGTATTAAAGGCGATGCCAACATGAAATACTTCCATGCCTACGCTAACGGGAGACGGCGTAGATGTGTGATTCTCCAGCTGCAGTCCGAACAGGGGTTACTGCTAGCCCAGGAAGATATAGTGCATCATGTCTACGACTTCTATATCCAACTGATGGGTATGAGTGAGGAGCAGCGGGCAAGGTTGCGCGCTGACTTGTGGGAGCCATCCCAGCTCGTTACCGACCGGGAAAATGAGAGCTGGGGCTCGCCTTTTTGCCCGAGGAGATTGCTGCTGCTCTAGGAGCATGAAAACCTACACCTCGTCGGGCCCAGATGGATGGCCAGTGGCCATGTTTAAACACTTCTGGTCGCTCCTTTAGGGACCTATATTGGAGGTGTGCAATGGCTTCATGCGTGGAATGGTAGATATCGCTCGGTTCAATTTTGGCGTCCTATCGCTTATTCCCAAGGTGGTAGGAGCTGATAACATTCAATAATTGAGGCCTATCGCGTTAATTAATGTCCTGTTTAAGATTTGTTCCAAAGCGACCAACTCCCTCCTTGTCCCGATAGCGCACCGTACTATTAGCCGCAACTAAACAACTTTTATCCGCGGTCGCAACATCCTTGAGGGTACGCTTGCCCTGCAAGAGATCATCCACGAACTCAAACGCACTAGGGAATCGGCCATCCTTCTAAAATTAGACTTCGAAAAGCATACGATCGAGTTAACTGGAACTTTTTGCGTTAGGTTCTGCTGAGCTGTGGTTTCTCAGCCATGTGGGTCCACTGAGTGATGCAGCTAGTCTCGGGGGGCCAGAATGCTATATCGGTTAACGGGGAAGTTGGGAACTTCTTCCGGAACAGACGGGGACTGCATCAGGGTGACCCGATGTCTTCGATCTTGTTCAACTTTATGGTGGATGCCCTTGCGGCTATGCTGCGGAAAGCCACCTCAGCTGGCAACATCAAGGGAGTGGTCGGCCATCTTATTCCAGGGGGGACATCTCACTTGCAGTACGCAGAAGACACCCTTCTACTGTTCCAACCAGATACTCATAGTATCGCTACGGTTAAAGCATTATTGTTGAGTTTTGAATTGATGTCGGGGCTCAAAATCAACTTTCACAAGTGTGAAGTGCTATCTATGGGGGTAGATAGTGAGGAGCGACGTCACATCGTGGACCTCCTCAACTGTAAAGTGGGAAAATTCCCCTTCACGTACCTAGGCCTGCCCCTAGCACCTCGGCGGTTGACAATCGATGATTGGGCACCCCTATGTGGCAAAATGGGGAGAAAAGTGAGCCCCTGGCGCGGCAAGTTCATGTCCTCTGCGGCAAGACTTGTCCTGACCAACTCTAGCCTCTCCTCGCTTCCCATGTTCCCCATGGGTCTTTTCCTGTTGGCGGAAGGGGTCCATGCTAAAATGGACACGCCGAGAGCCCGTTTCTTTTGGGAAGGAACGGGCCTCGAACGCAAGTACCATATGGTCAAATGGGCTGCGGTGTGTAGGCCCAAGTCCTTGGGCGGACTAGGAATCACAAACACCAGACTCCAAAACATCGCGTTGATGTGCAAGTGGATCTGGAAGCTATCGCAAGGGGCGACTGGCTTATGGGCTGACATCCTTAGGGCGAAATACTTCCCAAATGGGAATTTTTTTCGAAGGGGATGCGAGGGGCTCCCCTTTCTGGAATGATTTGAAGGCAATCAGACCAGCCTTCAGCCAAGGGGCCAAATTCGCTGTTGGAAACAATCATTCCATCCGTTTCTGGCCCGACTTCTGGGTGGGCCCTCGGCCTCTCTGGGAGAAATTTCCATACTTGTATGCAACTGCGGTGCATCCAAATTTATGGGTGGCAGATGCCTTGGCTCCCCCCCCCCTTCCCCGGCAATTTCCTTCTGCCGTAACCTAAACGACCAGGAGACATCGAGGTTGGGCGCTTTGCTGGATTTAGTGAACCACGTTGCCTTGTCCAATGAGCCCGATGGGGTGTAGTCGCATCTAAACGCCTCCGAAAAGTTTTCCCTCAAGTCTTTATATCACAAATTGTGCCAAGGGATGGCACAGAGGGAGGCTAAAGGACTCTGGCAAGCCCGCATTCCGCTGAAGATCAAAGTTTTTCTTTGGCAAATGTTCTGGGATCGGCTCCCTACGTCTATCAATATAGCTAAACGGAACGGTCCAGCGACGGGTCCGTGCGCATTATGAGGGAACCCCGAGAATGCAAACCATGTTTTCTTTCTATGCCCACTTGCAAGGTTCGTCTGGAGCGCTGTGCGCGAGGCGGCTGGCGTCCTCTGGGACCCGTGCTCCTCTTCTGAACTTGTAGGGCTACTTGATTCGGTCCAGGGACAGAGCAAGTGTGTGTTGTGTACTAGTATAGGGGCGCCGTTATGGTCCTTACGGCTCACTCGCAATAAACTTACCACTGAGCGCACTCTCCTGACGCACCCAGCTAACATCGTATACAAATGCTCTATCATCATGCAGCAGTGGAGTCCGTTGGCAAAGCGGAAGGACTCTGAGATCGTGAAGCACGCGAAAGAATGAATTCACCAAGTGTACGTGGCGGCTAGGTAGCCGGCGATGCAAGGTTTAGGGTGGGAGTGCTCTTTTGTGTTGCGAGCATGCGTGCTCTAATGCCTAGGCCTTGGCCTTGTAACTTGCTCGCTGCCCAGCTTTGAACCCTCCACACTCTTTATCTCGTTGCGCCTTGGGCTTTTGGTTTGTGTAATGTTCGATCGGTTGCTACTCTGCCTGTCGCGTGGGCTTTATTAATTTAAAGCCGGGCGCTCCTAGCATCTTTGTTCTAAAAAAAGTAGTTGAAAGCACATACTCGGTCCATCAAATTACCAAGCTACTCCCTCCGTCTCATAATATAAAACGTTTTTTTACACTTATGTAGTGTTAAAAAACGTCGTATATTATGGAACGGAGGGAGTAGCTAATTAGTACTCGATACATCCTCTTTTATCCATTTTGATGACAAGTATTTCGTGACGAAGGGAGTAATAGTAAAGTAATAATACTCCTTAGCATCAAAAAACTTGTCTTAAGTTTCTCTAAATATGGATGTATCTAGACATTTTAGTGTTAGATACATCCGTATTTCAATAATACAAGACAAGCTTTTTGAAACGGAAGTAGTACTGTTGGTTAACCGATCAGCATGTGCATTAGCATGTCGTTGCACTCGTCCATGGCGCCGGGCAGGCACCAGTGTAGGCAGTCACGCGACACCCTGAACTTCTCCGGCTCCCACAGCCGGTACTTGCTCGGGTGGCCGTCCGGCCGCAGCGCCATAGCCTCCGTCGCGTGCATCAGCAGCATCCTCACCCCTTTCCCTCTCGCCGCAGCCTCTGCCGCGGCGAACTCCTCCACCTGTATCCGGCGCATCTCCTTCTGCCCCTCGTCCATCTCCCACTCGCCACGCCGGAGAGGCCGCGTCCGGACGCAGTCGCCGTCCTCGTTCCGCGTCCCGTTCTCGTAGTGCGACGGCGATATCGTCCGCACGATGACCGTCCGGGAGCGGCCGCCCGGCGCGCCCACGGCCGCGCGGAGCGCGCTCCGGAACGCCAGCCGCAGGGAGTACCGGAGCGTGAGGTCGGTGATGTTAGGAGCGAGGCAGCCGCTGCACCCGACGAGACGGCCGCGCTCGTAGAACACGGACGGCCGGTAGAACCAGCTGCCGGCGGAGACGACGATGTAGTCGAACATGCCGGCGTGGGCCGCCCATCCAACGTCCGGCTCGTCTAGGTGGAGGCTCCACAGGCCGGCCCCGCTACGCGCCGGGCCGTCCCGGTCGGTCTCGACGGCGCGGACGAGGAACGGCGACCAGAAGTCGGCGACGGCGAAGCCGTGGCGCTCGTAGCGGTAGACGTATCCCGCTTTGGTCCACGGCACGGGCCGCTCGGCCCGCGCCAGGAGGCACACGAGCGAGTGCATCTGGTTCCTGGCGAGCGAGTCGCCGACGAACGCCACGGATTTGCCCCTCATGGCGCCGAGGAAACGCGCCGCGTCGAAGCGCGGCAGCTCGCACCCGTCCGGCCGCCACCGCCACCGGACGAACCCGAGGTCCGGCTTGCCGTACCGCATGCAGTCGTAGTGGCCGTGGATCACGGGGCACGTCTCGTTGGTGTACCGCGGCGCTTCCGGGTCGGGCACCCACTCGCCCTTGAATATGTCGCAGGACCCGTTGACGCCGCGTCCATGGCCCGTCGTGCTCGTGAGCAACGGCGGCATCAGCGGCACGCGGTGGGGCAGGCTCATCGCCGCGAGGACCACAAGACACGTCGTGAGGACGGCAGCGGGGAGCACATAGTGCCAGTGGCGGCTGTAATGGGCAATCGACGGGAGATTTACTCCATGAAACTTCATCGCTGTTAACATCTATCCCAAGTTCCCAACGAACTACGGATCATGAACATTATGTTTATGATAGTATGAACGAGTTTATGTATACAGATTCTTTTTTTGTGCTGCTTCATGAACGTTCATGAGTGTACTGGCAGCTGGAAGTGGCAAGTCGATGCGGTAGCATTGACGACGAAGACGGTGGTGACTAGTTAGCGTTGCCCGGTACGTAATTAGTATGCGGCTTACACTTGTTATGGTGGATTCCACGTGACCTTCAGTGCTAAACAGGTGCGCTTGTAAACTGAGCTAGCGGTAGAGCTTCAATCTTCTTGACTCGCGTGTCGAGATCCAGGAAGGGAAGTTCACCAACCATTCCAGCATTCGATAATGAGCATTTTATTTGAGATCTGTCACGTGTTTTTCAACGCTATGGTTGTAAGGATGCGTTTGATTACCTGCATCATTTTTAGGCACTTTGCGTACTTATCTTAATAGGGTCTGGCTTAGCATATGAAGGCAAAAAACTAACATCTGCATGTTGATTGGTTGCATGCATCCTCCCTAGTCTGCATGTGTCGAAATTGAAGGCATGCTATTTGGTTGCGGACTTATTTAAAGGGAAACACAAGTTTGATTGTTTGGTTGCATCCAGGATAGTTGTGTGGTAACCTTCACCTCGATGTGGTGAGGTTACCAGAGGCACACATGGAAAGAACTAAATTAGACCGAACAAACTTAGGCACAAACACAAGTCTTAATCACGTGTCACAAATTTTAAGCCAACATAATACGATAAGTTTCGAACAAAACTCAAGTCTTAAACCAACAACCAACAAGGAACGGGCAACAGGAGCTTAGGCGGTCACGGCGAAGGCGTTGTCGTGCTCCTTGCACTTGGTAACCACCTCCACGTCGTCGTCGTAGAAGACGATCACCTTCATGGTGTCGAGGGTCAGCAGCTTGAACGTAAGCATGTACCCGATCATGATCTGGTGAACAGCGGCGAAGGTGGCCCAACCCTGATCAAGGGTGACCCTGCCGTTGATCACCCTCACCGTCACCCTCCATGCGCAACCGGTGTTCGTCTTCAGTATGGACTCTGTAGGGACGGCGGGGAAGTGCTTCGTGAACTCCAGGGGCATTGGCAAACTCTCCAGCTTTGGAGCAAGGATTGAAGAAAAATATGCTCTAGAGGCAATATAAGGTTGTTATTTTATATTTTCTTATTTATGATAAATGTTTATTATTCATGCTAGAATTATATTAACCAGAAACTTGATACATGTGTGAATACATAGACAAAACACCGTGTCCCTAGAATGCCTCTACTAGACTAGCTCGTTAATCAAAGATGGTTAAGTTTCCTAGCCATGGATGATGTCTACTATACAACCTTCTTCTTGTAGACGTTGTTGGGCTTCCAAGTGCATAGGTTTGTAGGACAGTAGCAAATTTCCCTCAAGTGGATGACCTAAGGTTTATCAATCTGTGGGAGGCGTAGATTGAAGATGGTCTCTCTCAAACAACCATGCAACCAAATAACAAAGAGTCTCTTGTGCCCCCAACACACCCAATACAATGGTAAATTGTATAGGTGCACTAGTTCGGCGAAGAGATGGTGATACAAGTGCAATATGGATAGTGGGTATAGGTTTTCGTAATCTGAGAATATAAAAACAGCAAGATAACTAATGATAAAAGTGAGCGTAAACGGTATTGCAATGCTAGGAAACAAGGCCTAAGGTTCATACTTTCACTAGTGCAAGTTCTCTCAACAATAATAATATAATTGGATCACATAAGTATCCCTCAACATGCAATAAAGAGTCACTCCAAAGTCACTAATAACGGAGAACAAACGAAAAGATTATGATAGGGTACGAAACCACCTTAAAGTTATTCTTTCTGATCGATCTATTCAAGAGTCCGTAGTAAAATAAGACAAAACTATTCTTTCCGTTCGATCTATCATAGAGTTCGTACTAGAATAACACCTTAAGACACAAATCAACAAAAACCCTAATGTCACCTAGATACTCCATTGTCACCTCAAGTATCCATGGGCATGATTATACGATATGCATCACACAATATCAGATTCATCTATTCAACCAACACAAAGTACTTCAAAGAGTGCCCCAAAGTTTCTACCGGAGAGTCAAGACGAAAACGTGTGCTAAACCCTATGCATAAGTTCACAAGGTGAACCCGCAAGTTGATCACCAAAACATACATCAAGTGGATCACGTGAATATCCCATTATCACCACAGATAAGCACGGCAATACATACATCAAGTGTTCACAAATCCTTAAAGACTCAATCCGACAAAACAACTTCAAGGGGAATACTCAATTCATCACAAGAGAGTAGAGGGGGAGAAACATCATAAGATCCAACTATAATAGCAAAGCTCGCGATACATCAAGATCTTGCCATAGAGAGAACATGAGAGAGAGAGAGATCAAACACATAGCTACTGGTACATACCCTCAGCCCCGAGGGTGAACTACTCTCTCCTCGTCATGGAGAGCACCGGGATGATGGAGATGGCCACCGGTGATGGATTCCCCCTCCGGCAGGGTGCCGGAACGGGCTCCCGGGAGGTATTTGGTGGCTACAGAGGCTTGCGGCGGCGGAACTCCCGATCTATTATGTTCCTCGAAGGTTTTAGGGTATATGGAATTATATAGGCGAAAGAGGTCGGTCAGGGGAGCATCGAGGGGCCCACGAGGGTGGGGGCGCACCCAGGGGAGGTGAGCGGGCCTCCCTGCCTCGTGGCCTCCTCGAAGCTTCCCTGACTTGAGCTCCACGTATCCTAGATCACGTTCATTCCAAAAATCACCCTCCCAAAGGTTTCATTCCATTTGGACTCCGTTTTATATTCCTTTTCTTCGAAACACTGAAATAGGCAAGAAAACATCAATATGGGTTGGGCCTCTGGTTAATAGGTTAGTCCCAAAAATAATATAAAAGTGTATAATAAAGCCCGTAAACATCCAAAACAGATAATATAATAGCATGAATGATTCATAAATTATAGATACGTTGGAGACTTATCAAAGGACATGTGTTGTCATTTGATGAACATGATCACATCATTGGGAGAATGATGTGATGGACAAGACCCATCCGTTAGCTTAGCATAATGATCGTTCAGTTTTATTGCTACTGCTTTCTTCGTGTCATATATATAGTCCTACGACTATGAGATTATGCTACTCCTGGACACTGGAGAAATGCCTTGTGTGCTATCAAATGTCACAATGTAACTGGGTGATTATAAAGATGCTCTACAGGTATCTCTGAAAGTGTTTGTTGGGTTGGCATAGATCAAGATTAGGATTTGTCACTCCGAGTATCAGAGAGGTATCTCTGGGCCCTCCCGGTAATGCACATCATATGAAGCCTTGCAAGCAATGTGACTAATGAGTTAGTTACAGGATGATGCACTGCCGAACGAGTAAAGAGACTTTTCGGTAACGAGATTGAACTAGGTATGAAGATACCGACGATCGAATCTCGGGCAATTAACATACTGTTGACAAAGGGAATAACATATGTTGACATTGCAGTTCGACCAATAAAGATCTTCTTAGAATATGAGGGAACCAATATGAGCATCCAGGTTCCGCTATTGGTTATTGATCGAAGAAGTGTCTTAGTCATGTCTACATAGTTCTCGAACCCGTAGGGTTCGCATGCTTAGCGTTCGATGACGATATGTATTATATGAGTTATGTGTTTTGGTGACCGAAGTTAGTTCGGAGTCCCGGATGAGATCACGGACATGACGGGAAGTCTCGAAATGGTCGAGAGGTAAAGATCGATATATTGGAAGGTTATATTCGGACACCGGAATGGTTTCGAGGATTTTTCGGGGAGCCGAGGGGTTACCAGAACCCCCCCCCCCCCCGGGAAAGTGAATGGGCCTCATGTGACATAGGTGAGAGGAGGAGGCAGGCCACAGGAGGGCCCCCCCAAGCGAGTCCGAATTGGACTAGGGGAGGGGGCGCGACTATCAGGACCCCGATTATATGCCACACCGATCTAGCATGTAACACCTCATATCACTTTGCGGCCTCACGCATGGTATTCCCACGGGTGTCGCCTTACCATGCCCGGGACCGTTTGCGCCTTTTGGCACACGTATATGATAGTGTCGCTAGCATCCATATGACAAAGAACCCGGGCTGACATGGCTAGTCGTGAACCCAAAGTGGCACTAACTTACAGGGACAGGCATACATGACCCAACATCGAACGTGTCGGTCATCAGCGAGTGAATCCGGGCTATAGCAACTGGGCTAGCAGGACTCCGGTAAACCGGGCTGTAGCAGGCTAACAGGACTCCGGTAGACACCGCGTGACATTTCCCCGAAGGGACAGACACAGGAACGAAGAAGGACACATGCCGGCCAGCCTAAGTGTTCCGGAGCAGTAGCAAGCTACCAGGGCTCAGTGGAAGCACTAGGAGACATTTCCCGGTAAGAGAGGCTACTAAGGATAAACAACTAGATAGTCAGATCCCACACATAGCAATACACATTACATGTACGCATAACATGCAAGTATGTGTTGTACAACATGGCATCACAGCATAACTCAACAACTTATATAGATAAGGCTCAAAAGAGCCATCATAGCATTTATTACAAACAAGGGTCACATGACCCAACATACAGAGCATACAAGCAACAAGCGAAAGCATTACATGTCTGGGTACAGACATCTACAAATGAAAAAGGCTGAAGAGCCTGACTAACTACAATATCCGATCAAGATCGTAGTTGAGGTACAAGCTACTTTCGAAGTCCATGAGAACACTAGTAAGACCGAAGTCGCTGCAAAAACATAAATAAAGCAACATGAGTACAAAGGTACTCAGCAAGACTTACATCAGATCCTATCATACATGCATTTGTATCAAGAGGGTAATGTGGGGTTTAGTTGCAGCAAGCCAGCTTTGACTCTGTGGCTATCCTGTTCTACGACTACCAGAACTTCTTTGAGGTGATATGGCGCACACGAGTC